CGAGCCGCGGCGGTTCGTCGAGTCCAACGGCGGTCGTGCGCGATCATCGGTGAAAAACACTTGCCGCCCGCCGTTCAACTTCCGCCGGTTCAGTGTACGCTCGGGCCGCCGAACGTGGTCGGGGTAAGCGGAGCACCGCCTCACGAGCGCGTCGAAATTACCCGAATCACTGGACGCATGATAGGCGACTCGAGAATGATAGAAAAATAGTGGTCGTGTCTCGCGAGCCAAGCAAACGCTTCCAATTTCGTGCAAGCCAATAGACAAGAAATCTGTTTCTCGGTATCTCTGTCTATGGTTGGGAACGAAGACGAGTCGAATCATGGCGTAAGTAACATTTTCTTTGGGTTCTTTGCTTCTGGAATATGTACTCTTCGTTTGGTAGATAGACAGATTTGACGCATAATGATAATTAATTAGAATAAAGTATGTCCATTTATACCTTTCGACGTGTCTGCGCATAGCGCATAACGCAATGTAACGCGTATAGAGGGTAACAAAATTAGTTGTCATGGCTTTGGCAGGTGAACGCACACCTTTGCAGATATACAAAATTCACCTTCGTTTTGAAATTCAAGGTTAAATTTTTGTATCGCGTCGTATCTTTTGCTCGTCGAGGAGGATGAAAAGTCGATAAGCTGTGACAGGGCTTGTAACAAGGTTTGTAAGAAGAACGCGCATTTGCATACAATCACCGGGTTTTATAGGCCTTTCGGAGACCAGCTCCGAACCAATTAGCGCTCAGTTTCCGCTCGTTTACCTGCTACGATCGGTTTTTGTGGTCGCGCCAGGCTACAGAGGAGGCGCAGGCGAGTTGCGCGCCGTCGTATGATCGAATCGCAGGTTGTGTTTAGAAAATGTTTCGATCGTTACGATGCTTCTAACAGTGGATCTAACAGTGTCGATGGTCGTTGATGTTGCAGGATGCGGCACGAGGCAGGATCCTCAACGCGTGTTCACAAACAACGTTGTAGTTCGCTTCCATCCTGGCCTCGAAATGGACGGCGACGAAGTTATTACGATAGTTTGTAGGTATCCTCCGCCTGTGGCACCTGCACCGCCGGCTCCTCCGGCCAGCATGTGAGTTTACTCCCTCGCCGTTCTCAATTATCATCTTTCTCTCTTTTAACGCGGTCTGACCAAAAGTATGTTTCAAGGTTTTAAGTCGATAAACCGCGAAACTCGGAAGGACTCGATCCGAATCCGAAATCTCGGCTACCCGCGCCAGAAATCGAAATACAAAAACTCAGTTTTCCACGATTTATTCGCCGCGCGTTTAACTACGTTATTTCGTGTGTTGGAATGTAATTGGAATTCGCGGAAACTGGTTGGAGAAACTGGGCGAATCAAAGTTCTCTTCTTTTTGAAATAACAATTATGAGAAGAATCGTTTAATTTGAAACCATGGCAGGCTACGGATAAACAGAATATAGGTATACGGGTATATGTAGGTATCTAGCCAGCTTCGCGGTAATTTGCAGCTTCGTGTTCGCTCACCGATCGTTCCGATCGCCTTTTATTCGTCATACAGTCCGCTCTGACGTTCTAAAAGTTGCGAATCCCGGCGTAATTGAAAAATATCCGATAAAAAGAAAAACATCTTTGTCCATAGCTTGGCTACCCCGGCGCCAGTCCCGCCATCCGAACCACCGTTGAAAGGATTTCAGATTCTGCTCATCATCTGCGCGATTCTGTTCCTTTCGTTGCTGTTACTTGGCCTCGGTTGCTCGTACATGTGCTTGAAACGAAGAAACGTTCGCGTGATCCACCGACATCCGTTCGGAAGTGGCTCGGGCTCGGAAATAACAAAACTCTCCACTTCTTCCCTAAGCAACATCACCATGTTCGAGGGCTTGAAGATACCTAGGGCTCATGCTCTTCTACACGCACCTCCGTCCACCACCGGTAGCGATGCCAACCTGATGATCGACCATTCATTACCCAGCGATTATCCGAGCGAGAGCTCCGAGGTAAGTTGTTTCGTATGGAAGATGGATACAGACAGAGGAATTGATTAACACGCGTATGATTTTTGAATAACAATTAGCACGAGTTTCCCTACTATAATCACTTTATTCTGCTGAAACTTGATAACAATCGACACTGTCAACGTCTGTCTGTCTGTCATCTTATGACTCGAGAATTAAGTTATATTTCATTAAAATTAGTTCGTAGATCGACAAATCAAGGAAAAATGCTCAAGGATAGAGCGATTGAACAGCGGTTAATGCAACGATCAAACTCTTTCGTAATTCCAGCATATTTGCTTATTGCTAATTACATCGTCTTATTTTTCTCGCCTACCAAATATACGTGTAAACGTGATCTCATACATATTGTGTTTTGTCTTGTTGTTTTTTCTTGTTGTTTTGAAGAATGAAAAAAGTCCGTTCATTGTTACATTAGTATCGTCTCATGGACATTTGAAATCGAACTGTTGGCGTTGCGATTAACGCAACGCTATGATCTCTCGATACGAGAGACATTTACGAGGAACGTTGAATACGGCAATCGTCGCATGCTTGCGCTACTTTATACAGTCGATCAATGTGGCTTTTCAACGAAAAGGACGAAATATCGACGATAAGCAAAACGAACGATAAGAACGAACATCTTCCAGATATTACATAAAACGTTCTTTTTCTATTTTATATTACGTATGTATCCATGCATATTATTGCAAATATAGCTATCTTTTACAAAGACGCGAAACTGTGAAAATCTCCGCGAGATTAGCGTTCGTGTCATTAAGAACGGAATTTTTCGTACGATCGATTCAAAGATTGTGTTCACAACGTTTCGAAGAAATGGCACTTAAAGACTAAATTTATCCATCAACCCGATATTCTATGCATGTATACAAATATTATACTACATGTCGCACTAGTATATACGCATAAATAAAGTTACAGGTATAATTACCGTATGTTAATCAGTCTAATTACTAAAATATCCGAAGAACTTCGAAATTCGTTCGAAATGTCACCTGAGAATTAATGGTAATGGTACGTTTTTGTTTACAGGTGGACGAAGAACCTTCTCTGCCAGTTTCATCCGCCGGCTCTTACGACAACAAAGCCTTTGTTCACCACGAGACTCATCAACGCCAAGAAATTCGTACCACCAGCTCCCTTTATTCCGAGACAGTTGCCGCAGAAGTGGAAACGTCTTCCATGACAGCGGCAAACGCTTCACGCACCGCAGTTCCTCGCCATATGGTAGCCATGCCGATCGAACCCAAGTTCGACGTTCAAATGAGAGTGAAGCGAGCGCCACCTCCTCCTCCAAGTCCCCTACCCTCGGAATCCGACATAGCAAGCGTCGCTCTAGAAAGAAATCTGACCACGATTCTCGAAAAGGAAGAATCTAGCCTCACGCGCAGTCTTGACAGTCCCCCGGCCAGGATGACTACGTTCTCTTACGTTCCGGAGCTCCATGGACCTCCGGGAGGCGCTCCACCCACGTCCAGCATCTCCAGGCAGCAAACACCTCCAGTCTACTCGAGAATCTTGAGGAAGCAGGCCGAGAGGGACACCACGACCAGCACCAGCATCGTTCAGGAACGAATTCCCTCACCTTCTCCCATAGAACAGCCTCCTTTGCAACACCATGAAATTCGTAGACCCAGATCCTTGACTTCCTTGAACACCGAGCTAACCGAGACACGTTCTCTGACCGAAGTAACTGATCATACACACGCCAAGTACAGAGTGGCTAGTATCCTAGCTCCGACTCCACCGCCGCCTCCTCCAATTGTTCCAACAGTCACTACTACCCACACAGCTGTTCAGCATCGTGAGCATCGCCTCTTCCGCGAGGAAGTGACGGAGCCTTTGGTGGAGCCGCAGGTTGTCGCTCCTAGGCGGCCAGAGATAACCACGCACGAAGTGGACGATGTGTTTTTAAAGACAGTGACGGAGAAGAAGACCATCGAGGATGTGGAACGTCACCGTCGTCAGGTGACCGAGTATAGAACTAAACCGCCACCGCCGGATCCTAAGTGGGACGTTACTATCAGGAATTATCCTAAAGAGAATCTGCCACCGCCTCCTCCAGAATGGGAAAACTTTTCTGATGTTAGTTCCAACTCGAATCTGACGATTACCAATGAGCCAACGGGCAGTCAGATGGACGGGCCAGCTGACGAGGAACTGGACATCAATATAGAGCCTACGTATACCGCTAGAGCCGAGATTCCTTGCAGACCACCTCCAGTCACCCATCGTCGTTCCATCGATGAAACAGACGCTGATTGGTTCTCTAGACTATCTCGTGTCTTGGACCCCCGTTATGCCTCCGAATTCACTGACGGAGAACGAGCAAAATGGCGCGAGATAATTACCACGGACAGTACTTTACGGACCCTGTTAACAGAAGCCGTGGTTAAAGAGGACTACGAATTGATACGAAAAGATACCAGATATGCCCATCTATTCTCTCCAGCAAAGTGGGACGTGATCATCCGAATCTTGGGGCCTCCTGCAACACAGCCAGGTTCCGCTTCGTGCTCTACCCACGGAAAGAATCACGGGCAGCGATATAAGAGGTCCAAGTCCTCTGAATGGGATACCAGATCGAGAAGATCATCCTTGCCTACTTTGTACGAGTACGAGAGCGATGGAGGTAGTTCTGCTCATACTCAGAGCCACAGACTGCAGGTATCACAGTCTACAGCGGCTATGAGCCAGTCGAATCGTTTACGTCGACTGGCATCGAGTAACAGAGGCACAGGCGGCGTTAGCGAGGCGGACGTTAGGTCCATGTCGGAGATGACGGTGAGAGACTTTGCCAGAGTGGACAGAGACGACTTGACGAGTTTGAGTTCGTTCGAGGGAGCAGATTCGCTGGTGAGATCCTTGAGTCAGCCAAGTTTGGCCAGAAGCGGTTCAGAATTTACCGAACACTGGGGAATTCCCTCGGGCATGCTGGATCTCCCGCCTTGGACAGCGGAGGAGGAGGAAGAGGAGGAGGAGGAGGGAACCAGTTCTGTGGAGACGACGCCCAGAGCGGTGAGAAGAAACGATCGTCTGGAGGTGCTGGCGTCGTTCGACGATCATAGGCAAGGATCATCCACCACTAGATCGAGTCGATACATGGAGAGGGAAGTGAACAGTGTGCACGTGACCGAGAGCCAGAGGAGTTCCAACTGGTTCCACGATGATTCTGAGCCAGAGATGCAGATATGAAGATGTTTAAGAGAAGCCGCCTACGTGTTCCATTCTCTCCAACGTCTTTCTTCGAGTTTTTATAAAATCGAGTTGTTATAAGAAATTACACATGATCATTATGGCAGAGGTTACGAGTATTATGCGGATCGAAAGTTATCGAGGAGAAATCATGCCAGTTTGATTAGGTATAGTATTATGAGAGGATAGAGAAGGAAATAGAAGACAGATACGCTATTGTTTATAAGTATTTGGATGCCTGGTGCAATCTCATCGAACGATTTACGTTTCTCTTACATTTTCAATATCGTAACGAAAGAACCCTGAATGAATTCTTTACATCTTTTGATCTGTTCACCTGTTGATCTCGAACGTCTACACACGTGTGCACATGTTATACTTTTGCGATAGTGTAAACGTGACCGAATACTTATTGGAAGATAGCGTACATTCTAGAAATATTACATTACAGAGGCCGAATCGAAGATTGAGAAGATATCCGAATTAAGCTTCGTCGAGGTTAGTTAAGCTTCTGTTAACACATTTGTGAGTGGAATTTCCTACTTTCGACTCACGCGTCTGCGTCAGAAGCGGTCTCACTGCTATACGGGGGGCTGTGGTATCGCAGCGATGCATCGGTTCTGATCACGTCCTAACTGAGACACAGCACACGGTTGTTTCCTTCGCGACTTATTTTAAATTTTCTATTAACAAAAATTTCATTAAAAACACGATACTATAAAAATGTATTTGAAAGAATTTCGCCGTTGCAAGTTAGTGCCTCGTTAGTGTCGTCTCACCGATACAAAGGCTAAAGCGATCCCACTGTACGGGTACGTTGTACGTTCCCCCCTTCCCCACCCTGAAGTGCCCGGGATCCGATCAATGTTTAGGGTCGTGAAACGATGCGACAAAAAGCAAGGTGGTTTGCTTGTTGTCGGACCGATATCAATCCGACGACGTCAAAGACAACTTTTTTTTCCACGTTGATCTTTTCCTCGGCAACTCGCTCTCCTTTTCTACTGTCACGGCTCTTTCCGCACCGATCGTTTTCCATGTCGTCGTGCGACTTACGACGTACGACATATACGAACCGAACACTGTCGTAACGTCGTACAACCGATTGCTTGTCGTTATGCGACATCCAGCTAAGAGATAGAACGAAACTGCTTCTGACGCAAACGTGTGCGTTAAAATAGGTGATCGCCCGCCTTAAACCGAAACTTGGACTTAGACTTAAAGGAGGCGATGTTTCCTGGAATGTCTATCGTAACGAAACAAAATGTAAAAGTTGGATTATTAAAGCATTTGAAAAGCGGTATTAGAAAGAGACACGATCTATCTGAACGAGAAATTAATTATTATGTCCGATACGAATTAATAATCTGCCCGGTACATCGGGCATGTCATTTTCCGCTATAAGAATAAGTTAGAGAAGATTAAAAAGTGTAAAAATCATCCGAGGAGAATATGTATAGAAAGCATATATAATATATGCTCACCGTCATTGAATTCGGACTCGAGGCAAATGTGATGAGAATAAAACTGGAAATAACGTTACACGATCCAGCAAACATCTGTCGTTCCCTTCGAGTGAATTTTTGCAGAAAGAACTTCAAGTTTGGTTGAAACGTAGAGAGATACATATATTTCGAATAAAAATGGCTTGACTAGTCTGAACGATGCTTTAAAGAGGTCCCGGAGAAGCCAGACTTTCCGAGTACGAAAGACTTTTAGTAACCTTGTATTGTAATATCTTTTATTTCGTATCTGAACATATTTCCTCGACGTATTTCGTCTAGATAGTTGTCAAAGTGGCAACAACATTGCAACGTACGAGATAGCAATATTTGCAAGCATGTAAAAAAGATTATATTTTTTACAATTTTCGTAGCTTCGAAACGAGTATCGAAATTTTAAACGATTATAAAGTTGGAAGCATCGTTGGAAAAAGTACTTGAATATTGGAAATACATATGTGAAATATGTAAAGAGGTAAATTGCAAGTAAGAAAAAATTTTTGTGATTAAATTGGGAAAAAATTAATGGGCGATTTAAAAAGGCGATTTTTTCGATCACAGTGAAGATAAGAGCAGTGGACATTGAAAATGTGCCCCTTCAATATCTACGGCTTACAAACTATATAACCTCTGTTATAATATCCAGATTTCTACAAATTGGCATTTGCATTTTCGACGAATGTCGCATTATTCTCCTATTTTTGTACCTTTCTATTAATTGTACCGTTTGAAATATCTATTCTTAATTTCATATCGTCCAGGATGATCAAACTTTTCACTGCCTTCTCGCATTTGGTAGATCGAAGAGGCAATTTTGCCGCCTTCTTTACGATATCTCTACGAATTCCCGACGAATTCTCTACGATTACGAATATCGACAGATTTTCGAACGAGCATTCGCGTGTTTGCGACTCAATGCGTCGACTGTTGGATCATCGAAGCACGAACACCCGAGCTTTTTATTTAATTCGAGACAACGGAAGAAATTATTATCCGTATAATAAATCGACTGTTTTTCTTGCTCGTTTTATTTCCATTTAAAATTGAGTTGTGAATGGAATATATGTTGAAAGAATGTAAAAGATTGGAAGCATGTGTTTGATATTAATAGTTGATTATTTATTTTTCGCCAGGCGTTAAGAAACGTTAATCTCGATAATGAACAGTCGATACATTGGAGGAACAACGGTTAGCCATTCTCTCCACTTGTCACTCGAATTCTGTAAATGGAAAAAGCGAGAAACGTCGAACAGGGTAAGAATATCTGAGATTATTGGACGAGTGAAACTGTAGAATTTGGCGAAACGAATCCAATCATGACGTACGAGTTAACCCGAAACGAGTTGAAGAAACGAATCTACGACTAACCACGCGACAAATTCGCTTTCTTAACGATCGGTGGCGCATTTCGAGAACCTTTGTAACCATTGAAAACCACCATGACCGTATTAACGATATTTAACACTTTTGCTACGCATCTATGTAAAATAATCGAATTATATTGAAAATTGGCAAATTTTCAAGAAACTTCTCCAGGAATATATTGTAAACTACTTTCTATTGCTGGAAAAGATTACTTTGCGAATAATACAAAATATATCGAGCTTACAGAATATCAGATATTCGATACGAATAAAATTAACTTATAAATTCATCAATTTTATGTAAAACCTAAGCTTTTTCTTTTTTTTTTTTTAGCTTCTACCTATATCAAAGTCATAGGATATTCGCACTCCACGTTTCTTCTTCTATCTTTATTAAAGAGTAATAAAAACTTTTGTTTTTATGACATATTCTCTTTCTTCGTTTTTTATTACGAAAACTGTCTTTTTATATGGAAAACTATCAGATATTACTAATTCCGCTTAAATCGAGGACGATCTGTATTACAGTAGCGATACAATTATTAAAAAATACCTTTACCTTTTTCTTTGTAATTATAAAATCAGATTAACGGAGCTATCGTATTACACGCTCATTTACAATACTATAAAGAAACTGTAGTAGATCTTGCGATGCTCGTAAAGGAACGAGCAGAGCGGGAGCGGGAGAGGGTGAGTACATCCCGCCCTTGCAGGGTTCCGCGCCGAAGGACGGCCCTACGCCGTCCCAGGTAGTCATAGAGGCCGACAGGCCGATGTCGTTGAGAGGGATGGTCCCACCCAATGTCCTCGGACAGGAGAAGACGCAAGAGTGCTCCGACAGTAATGGGAAAAAGGTCCCGGGGCATCCCACTTGAGCGACAGGCGGTCCACCGTGGGCTTTTAGTCGATATAGTCCGACGTTACCCCGCCGCTTCCAAGAGTGACAGAGGGGTCGGGGGACGCCCATGAGTATAAAAAAAAACGTATAAAAAAAAAGTAGATTTTCCGAATGGTTTCTCATTTTTATTGTTTTTATGCAGGTCTCTTATCGTTTTGGCCATATTTTGCACCTTTTACATTGTTAGGTATACAAGTTTTCAAGCACAAAAATATTACGCTATATATTACGCTGCGATAAAAATTACTCTCATTTTGATCACAAAATGAATACGAATACGAGTAACAACAACAACAAGAAAAATTTGTTAAAACATTCTAATCGCGCGTAATACGTACATGCCACTTAAGTAACCGTCGAAAGAGTTTCCTGTCTTGGTAAAAAGCAACTGGATCGAAGAAAACCTTTCTTTTACGACGTACGATACGGTGTTTATGCGGTGAAATTTCTTTCGAGATTGGGTAGAAAGTATTTGGTCGTTTGCGAGATGTAACAACGTCGTATTGTAAGATCAAGAGAGGGCCCATTTTCTATGACAAACGGGCGCAGTTATATCCTAAATGATTGATATTTAACCGAAAAATCCGCTCACGTACTTGACGATAGTTTGGCACGATGAATCGCCGATAAGCGAAACGTATATATTTGTCATTTTTGCAAAAAAAGATTTGTAAAACATGGCGATGTAGAAGGTAGAGTAACACGATACAACTTGCGATATCCGACATCTGCTCTTCTAACGTAGTTCAGCTACTCTCCAATAATATTTTCTCTTGTTACGATATAATGTGTTACTATGCTTTAACCACGTAATGTTACGTGCTTTAACCACCAACCATTAACGTTTTAAGGCAATTTTCTGCATAGAATTGAAACAGGATACCGCACGTATTAATAGTTTTTAACGTATTAATTGTTTAGTTAGAAATTTCTTTATAAAGATAGGACGATGATCAAACACGTTGCAGATAGATTCGACTATCTGACTAGAAGCTAGCAGAAAGTGTTGGTCTGTCGACGAGAGAAAAAACCAAGTATACATATACACTGTAAAGGGTAAGTATAGTTTTTACAATTATTAAAGAAAAAAAAGCCTGGAAAAAATTGTTTGACCATTGAAATGATCATAGAAAATTGTTAATCGGGCACGGAGCTCGATGCGTGCTAAAGATACGTGTTGGTCGAATGCAACGATGCAACATTGGTAGCAAAACGGTTACGCAAAGATCGATTCTTTTTCAATGTCCTCTTTGTTAATTAATTGCTTCTTTCAAATTGCATCGTTGCGAACGATATATTACGCTAAATCATTTGAAAGATCCGACTATCCGAGTATCTCCGTTGCAAATTGCGCGTATCTTATGGCTGGGAAACTGTGCGTCGCGAAATTGTCAAACAATTGCAAGAGTCTGTGTATACGTGTATTCCTAATTAATTAATTTGCCGACTAATGTCCTATGTTTGGAAGCCGGTAAAAGAATCCGGCGACAGAATCTTTTATGCAAATTATCGAGTAACGCTATCAAGAAGTTATACTTTTGTTCTATAACGGCGAGAAGATGTT